GATTTCTGTCCTTTCCGTAGTTGAAGGCACTTGGGGTGGTGCAGGATGTCTTCCACCAACAATACCTTCATCTAGAAAGTACCCATCTAGACCGGCACAAGTGAGATTGGGAGCACCCTGCAAAATGCAATACGCTTTCAAACCTTCGGTATCCATGCAGGGTATAGAGCCCATGACACGCTCTCCTTGCAGATCCCAGCATCCCCATGACTGGAGCTTGAGGCCCGGACGTAAGGGCTGTAGGAGACGCCTTGAAGTCTTGTAGGCAGCAGAGGCAACATGATCAATGCGCACGGTGCATGGAACTGCCCTTCCTGTTTCAATATTAAGGTCTGAAAGGCTGTGCCGACCCCTTCAAGATTAACCCCCATGCAAGTGGCCATGGATCTCAACCTTGACACTAGCTGCCGGTGAAGTGGGAGTGGAAATGCGCGCCGTGGTAGTGGCAACAGCAATGTCAGTAGGAGCATTAGCAATATCAACACCAGCGGTTGCAAGAGTACAGGAGACAGTAGTAGAATCAAAACCCGCAGCAGCTGCAGCAACAGCATCAGCAGGAGAAGAATCAGCAGCACGAGGAGAAGCAGGAGGATGAGGAGTAGCAGTAGCAGCTGCAAGCACAGCCGTAGCAGTCGCAGGAGTGATGGTAGTGGTAGTCGCGGTGGCGGTGGTGGCTGTGGCGGTGTGGGCGGCAGCAGCGCTGGCGGTGTGGGCAGCGGCGAGGGTGGCGTGGCGGCTGGATCACTAAGATGCTAGAAGTAATCGTAACAGGCTGTATCTGTCTTACTCTTGTCAACCCCGATCTTGCGATTGCCAAGGCCGGCGCTTCTGAGGATGGTGTACTCTAACTCAGCACAGCGAAGCGCTCACTTCAGAACTTCTTGAGGGGTTCTATAGGGTTCTGTAGGGATCATATACAGAGCATAAGGGGTTGGGGCCTCAGGGTTCAGGGCTAGAGCTTCAGGGCTTGAGAATCCCCACTTGAGTGGGAATGCGACTTGGAGCGGTCCCTTGAGATATAGGCCCCCTTAAGTAGATATAATATGGCTTTGGGTATATTATAATAGGATCCCCATATACCCCATATTCTATCTACTTAAGAAAAAGGACTATACAGGCACCATAGAAAGGCTGGACTAGAGTGTCCCAATACACAATCACCACTCATGTGGGAATTTGCTCGAAGAGATTACTGCGCCAAAGCGAAAGCAGGGGAGCGTCTTAGACATGCACATATAAATCATTCTGCGATTTTGGGGAATATCTGGAGTCCTGACTCTAAGAAATCCCAATGTAGTCACGAGGACTATCACTCAAAGGAATTTGGGCTTGATTTTCGCCATTTGCTTCAAATTACTTACAAGGCACTAGTGCAATTTCGCTTTTACTTTCGTAATTGAAGCTACAGCGTCTCATCCGTTTTGGCAATGAATCCTGAGCCATTGTCCAAACTCCTACTATCCCCCTGAAAAAGCCCTATAGTAGTCCCTGATATAATCCCTACATATTCCCCTTTAAGGCGTCTAGACTATAGCTCACCTGGGCCTGAGCGACCCAAGGTCCTCAGGCGCCGACGGGACCTCCTCGAGGGTCGGACTCCTTGTAAGTGCGGACATAGCAGCCAGCTACCTGGCATGGTTCGGAGGTCGGAGCGTTTAAGGGGCTATATAAATGTTCAGCAGAAATATATAGGGATAGTGGAAAATGGAAACCACAGGGATTCTAGGGATTATATAGGGGTTATATAGGGCAAGAAAATAAGGGATATACAGGGATAATGAAAAGAAAATGGAAAATACCTTTTAGTGTAGGGTAACAGTCCAGGCGATCTTAAGGCTTTATACTTCTTTTTCATATTCTAGTTAATATCCAACAGTCCCTGAACCCTGAACTGAAGAGGGGCATTTTTTTGTGCTTAAAGGCCAGTTAAATGGGGAAGGGATGAAAGGGTCCCTAAGAATAATAATTCATACAAATTTTCCCTATAATTGTCCCCGGCGCCCATTCCCTCATTTCCTACTTGTCACCCGCGAGCCTGGAACTCCATACATGCTAGGAAACTGATAATTCATGATAGTTCAATGCCCCGTGCCCCGAAATACGTACGCACGCACGCACGCACGTACGTACGTACGTACGTA